ATATAGAAAGACCAGAAGACAAGTGAAAAGAAGATCAGAATCAAAAGCACAATGCGATGATTATCACACATAGCCTGTTCAGAATGGCTCTTGTCAAAAACAAAAGAGAAGTGTTGAGTAGAAGAAATATAGTTAAATTAGCATAGATCATGGAAACTGTATGAAGTTCGCTAACTAAAAACCTCAAAGATATATTATTGTATGATCCAGAGTCTTAGCACTGGGTATAAATCCAGGAATTTGGAATTCAGTGGCGTGTATCGTGAAGATATGTGCCTAATGTTCATACTAGCGTAGGTTTGCAGGTCATTAATGCATAGCAAGAAATGGAAAAATGCAACTAGAACCAAAACCACCTCCATAAAAAATAACAATAAGACTAACATAAACAATATATAAAACAAAATACTAATTACTCAAATATCTAAATATTCATGCTGACCTCAAGTCCTCTGCCTTGCCTCCCAGTACAGTCAGACAAGTGTCTGAGAGGGATGCAGCAATGCAACCATGTGCCCAGCATAAACAACTTGACACCTATAAATATGTGGATCAGAGCCAATCAAGAATGGGGTATTACAGTGGTGTGATTTTTTGAGTCTCCAGGGGAGATTCATTTTTCGATTACCTAGGTACCAGAGGCCACTTCCATATTCTTTGCCTGCTATGATCATATTTATTCCGATGTTCTAGCTCAGCAAGCAGTAGGCAGCACATGAAATCTTTATCTCCCCTCCTTTGTTACAATCCATATACCACATCCATGTTGACACTACTCCACGTATGCTTATTTATTAATTATATGCCCTTGGGATTATGTTATTCTTCCAAGCTAATTCCTGGATAACCTGAAGAGCTCTATCTAATGGCATCCTTTGCATATCAGTATACATTAGGTCTAGAAGGATATGGATGTGGACATCCTTTGCTGTGGGTGTGGTGGGTAGAGGAGTCATTATTCAACTACCATATAATCGTCACATATGGTCCCCTATTATTTCTTCCTATCTGTCTCTATTATTTTTTTGTTCCGTTCCTTCATGGTTCACTGGTAGGAACTACTAGTAAATATGAATAGCAGGGTAAGACGTAGATCTTGCTTTCTCCCAAAACTGCTGGGGGGAGATATTGCAGTTTTCTACCATATAGTATAATGACGTTTGCGTTAAGTTTTTGTAGCATTCTGTATTGAGGAGTTTGCCTTCATACGTTGTTCCATAGATGGTGCATTTACTTCCACCCCAGGATGTAGGATGCGACTATGAATTCTCCCTCCTTTGCTGGTGAAGCAGGTCCACTGTGGCACTAGTTATAAACAGTCGGTTCAGACACCACCATAAAAAGGGTTCATCGAAGGTGTTCTGGTTAATATAGGAGAGCAACAAACAACAGAGTTAGGATTTTTGGAGCTGGTCCCCAAGGTTCAAGAAACTTGCCCTGGACGAGGAGTCATCAATTTTCCATTGTGCACCAGTGAGGGCCCAAGAAAGAGCCACTTTGGGTTCATGCCCAGGAGTCTCCTGGATGACGGTAGGTGTAGAAGCCACTGAAGGAACATTCTCTTCGTGGGGTGGTGAACTGACATATCTCGCATTCTATCCATATTTCAGGATGATTATCGAAATTCAATATTTTGAAATCAGCAAAGAAGGTGAAGATGTTAAGGGTGCCCCTACTGTGGACACTGCACACAGCCTCACTCCATTTAAAACCCATGGACCAAGTTCATGATAAGTTGTCCTATCCAAATTTCTGTCTCTGCTTTCCTTTATGGGTCAAAGGTAATAACATTAGGTTCACAAAAGAGGGGAAGAAAGGAAGGTGACTGTTACCAGATCATTAGGGAAGCCCTGACTCAGACTACATTAAGTGAGAGACTTTAAAAAGGTTAAGGTTGTACACATAGAGTGGAATGTTTAAATGGGCTTTATGAAAGAAGTTGTTCTCCTTACTAATGTTTTATGGGAAATGGGTATTTCTGCCTGGCAGAAATACTTCCCCCGTTCCTAGGGTTATAAACATAAACCTGGTTGATAAAGTCTGCTAATGGAGGCTGTAGGTTAAAAAAGTAACGCTTGGTACAAGATAAGTAAAGTTTGAAGGACGAGTTGGTATATTTGAACTGTCTTCATGTGATGTGGTGTGACATGACATATTTATTATTTGTAAATTTGTTGATGGTTCATAATGGTAACATGCGTCATATGCTATACTAAGTTATACTGTAGAGACAATGTGAAGTTACTAGCTGCCTCCTATAATCCCAGAAAATAGCAAAGAGGTTAAAAGAACACCAGAAGCTTCCGCATCCCTTTTTCCTTGGAGAATAGCTTCCTGCAATAATTTACTCTTCCCGGAGATCTTCATGAACGTCTGTAAGATAGGTCCCTTTATTTACATAGGAACAGTTTACATTCAAAAAAGCTCCACAATTATGCCCTTTTTGTCTTTATTAAGGATTCCTTTATTTTGTTTACAAAGTTAGGTTTAATAAGATTCCTTAAAAATGAAACGTATCTTCAGATGTAACGATTTTGTTACATTAGCTGGATATGGCCATTGATGCCCACGGCAGGAGGAGATATTTAGCCAAAGATACGAAATTAAATTTTTAAAATATTCATTCTGTAAATAATTACTACATATCATCTTCTGTGAAGGCTCATGCTAGACATGGTGAGGGAAGAAGAACATGGCTCAGGTATCAGCTTCACTCTTCAGGAGTTCATCTTATGCGACCAGTGATACATCATGTTACACAACTTACTGATCCTCAGGTATTCTGTCAAGAAGTACATTGCCAGAATAATTTCAATCATTAAAATCTACATCCAGAAGAGAAAGATGTCTGACATAACCATCAAAATCAAGGAACTCAGGTAAAGTTGTGTCAGAGGATGACAACAGCATTAGCACGTGTTCAAGTCTTAAATGTGGTGGTTGTTTCAGTTAATGCTTAGTGTCATCCTTTTGTACAAGAAAGAGGCAAAGGAACACTGCCCCCATCCTCTTCCACCAAAAACAAACAAATAAACAAGAGATAGCTTAAATTAATCTCAAGCACCACCTTGCAAAATTACTTAAGAGATGGAAGGGCATGTACAAAAAGAGAATGCGGCTTTGCCATGGAAATGGATGACAGGTTTATGGACCAATTTTACATTCATATGAGATTCAAGTGATTTTTTTCTACAAATGACAGAACAATCACCCACACAGGATTACTATCCTTCTCTGCTGCCCAACACAAAAATAGGCAAAAATAGGCAACTGTTGACCATGCTCAAGGGCAACTCTGGCCTACACTGACAAGTATGTAATCTGTTAGTTTGTCAAATATGTTAAGGCCATAAACTGGCAAGCAATGTGTCTTGTCAATTATTAGCCAGTTCATTGTGTAACATTACTGAGTGGATATGATATGGGTGGTGTAATTTATGACGAGTGTAAATAGCCACGTTACATCCTGAGGAATTCCTCACTAAAACTGTATGGGTTATTTTGATCTGTGGGGTAGATGACATTAGTATCCCTTCTCCATAATGCTCATTAATCTGTTTATTAAAGTATTGTCCAATGAGGATCCGTAACATAATCATTTGTAAAAAATTCACTTTAAAAGGAAATACTATCTCCTTTTTATGAATGAAATGGTTATAAACATTAAGCAGTATCACTTGTTTCAAAAAAGATATCTAACCCTATCATTGTGGGAAATAAGTTTAGGTTTTTCCCCAACACCACTGAGAGCAGTAACTATTCAGTCTATGGCAACGTAAGCTTTTGATACATTGTGAGATTGTACAACGTTGTTGACATGTTTTTTTTTTCTGGAGTCACTTCCTATATTATGGAACAAATATTAACTAAGAATTTGGATATTTTTGGATCAGGTTAATAGCAGGCAAATAATAACCCTGATCTTGCCAATGTTGCATAACACAAATTTTCAATTAAAACAGTTACCTCTTTTTTTTTATTTTAGCGTATTATGGGGGTACAAGTGTTAAGGTTACTTATATTGCCCATGCCCCCCTTCCGCCCTCGAGTAAGAGCTTCAGCATGACCATCCCCCAAATGTTGAACATCTTACTCATTGTGGTTGTATATACCCCTCCCTTACCCCCCTCCACCCTCTCGACACCCGATAAATGTATTTCTATATGTCCATTTAGATGTTGATCCGTTAATACAATTTGCTGGTGGTACATGTGGTGTTGGTTTTTCCATTCTTGAAATACTTTACTTAGTAGAATGGGTTCGCTGTATCCAGGAATTTATAAGAGGTGCTATATCAGCATTGCTTTCTTAAAGCTGAGTAGTTTCATGGTATACATTTCCACATATTAATCCACTCATGAATTTTGCTACTCGGGTTGTTTCCATAGCTTTGCAATTGCGAATTGTGCTGCTATATTTCGAGTGCAGGTGTCTTTTTAATAAAGTGACTTTTGATCTTTTGGTAGATGCCCAGTAGTGGAATTGCCTATCTAACAAATGGTAGATCTACATGTATCGCTTTGCGGTATCTTCCATATTGCTTTCCACAGAGGTTGAACTAGTTTGCAGTCCCACCAGCAGTGTAGGAGGTGTTCCTCTCTCACATCCACGCCAGCAATTTGTTATTTGGGGACTTTTTTGATAAGGCATTCCACTGTATTAAGTGATATCTCATTGTGTTTTGATTTGCATTTCCCTGATGATTAGAGATGTTGAGCATTTTTTCATTATGTTTGTTGGCCAGTGTATTCTGTCTTCTTTTGAGAAGTTTCTGTTCATGTCTTTGCCCCATTTTTTGATAGGTTGTTGATTTTTTCCTGGCTGATTTTCTGAGTTCTGAAGTAGTTCTAGTTATCAGCCCTTTATTCAGATGTGTAGCTTGGCAAAATTTTCTCCCATTCTGTGGGTTGTCTGTTGCCTCTCGTTGACAGTTTCTTTGGCTGTGCAGATGTTGACCATGTGTTTCACACAGCGAAGTAGGACATTTTCATGGGTTTTTGAAATGTCAAAAACTGTTCACTGCTTGAATATTCATGAAGGCGAATCTGAGACAGAGGGTGAAATTAATTTACTTAAGAGACTGGTTTTTTCTTTCTCTTCTTTTTTCTTCTTTCTTTCTTCTTCTTTTTTCTTTCTTTCTCTTTCTTTTTCTTCTTTCTTCTCTTCTTTCTTCTTTCTTCTTCTTTCTTTCTTTCTCTTCTTCTTTCTTTCTTCTTTCTTTCTTTCTTTCTCTTTCTTCTTTCTTCTTTCTTCTTCTTTTCTTTTCTTTCTTTCTTTTTCTTTCTTTCTCTTTCTTTTCTTTTTTTCTTTCTTTTCTCTCTCTCTCTTTCTCTCTTTCATCTCACTCTGTTGCCCAGGCTAGAGTGAGTGCCGTGGCATCAGCCTAGCTCACAGCAACCTCAAACTCCTGGGCTCAAGCAATCCTCCTGCCTCAACCTCGCGGAGTAGCTGGACTACAGGCATGCGCCACTATGCCCGGCTAATTTTCTTATATATTAGTGGCCAATTAATTTTTTTATTTATAGTAGAGACGGTGGGTCTCGCCTCCTCTTGCTCAGGCTGGTTTTGAACTCCTAACCTCGAGCAATCCACCCGCCTCGGCCTCCCAGAGTGCTAGGAATACAGGCGTGAGCCACGGCGCCCAGCCAGTTGTTGCTTTTATTAAAGCAACAATGGTTGATCTACTTTATCACTGCATTTAGGTTTCCATGCCTTGCAGCCCAGGTGTTGTCCCTATGAAAGTCTCTGGAACTGAGCATGGGGTTGACTCCCTCCGTAGTAAATGGGGAATAGAAACGGAAAGGATTTCCACCTGTTGGGCATCAGCGTGAAATTGCATATTCTGCCCATCCAGAGATTTGCATTTCACATTCTACTTTGCATCCCCTTCACAGACAATTCCGGGGCTTTAGAATTAAATTTCTAAAATGAATGAATGAATTAATTAATTAATTAAATGAATTAAAAAATTAATTAATCCCAGTTCCCACTCTACCAAGTTGCTTCAGTGCAGCGCTAGGTCTTGTTTCCAAACCGCTGCAGGCACATGCTGAGAGCTAGGCCAAGGGAACCACAGACCCCCGGCCCACCCGGCCCCGCCCACCCGCTCGCGGCCCCGCCCACCAACTCGCGGTCCCGCCCACCTGGCTCCGCCCACCCACTCGCGGCCCCGCCCAGGCTTGGGCGCTCCTTCGCTCGCAGTTAGTTTCCTGAGGATCCGGAAGCCGGCTCTCGCTTTGGCTGACTGGGACGCCGCCGAGGCGTGTGAGTTTCTTTTTACTAATGTTAGGATTAAACCTGGGCTTCGCAATCTTCTGGCGCTTCCATACCTGGGATCTGGGGGTTCGTGTAGAGTGTAGGCCTTAAATCTGCACCGTTCCCTTCACCCCCAGTAAATCAAACGTCGCGGTGAGGGTCTGGGGTCGCGTCGCTTTGGGTAAAGTCATCCTGAGGCTGGGCCTTGTCGCCGGTCTCTCTGCCTTTGGACCACCTAGACACCTCCATTTTCCCGGGCCACCTAGACACCTCCATTTTCCCGGGCCACCTAGACACCTCCATTTTCCCGGCCACCTAGACACCTCCATTTTCCCGGTCACCTAGACACCTCCATTTTCCCGGGCCACCTAGACACCTCCATTTTCCCGGGCTACCTAGACACCTCCATTTTCCCGGGCCACCTAGACACCTCCATTTGCCCCGTTTTCCCGCTTAAAACCCGTTACTGGCCACCCGCCCGCGCCAGGTGAAGTGCTCACCCACGCGGTGGACTCAGGCTCTTCCGTCCCCAGCCTCGCCCTTCTCGGGCCGGGGAAGCCGCGTCCTCCCCCTGCGGTTCTGCCGACACTACCCTGTCCTGTTCCACACTCCCGCCCGCTCCTCCTGCGTCCGTCCGGGCCTACGGCCTCCTTCACTCTCACGGCCTCGGCCTCCTTCACTCTCACGGCCTCCTCTCATCCCGCGCTGGCGAAGGTGACCTTGGGCCCGTCCCGAGACAGCCAGTGTTCTGTCCCAAATAACGCCGCCAGAAAATGGTGCTCTTCTTGGAGTCGGACATCTTCCTCCATTCCCCTCCGTTTGAATGTGTGGTCAAAGGGGATCAGGAGAGACAGCGACTGAGAGGAAATAGAAAAACTGAGGAAGTGAAAAGCAGTATGACGGAGACCCTTAAACAGATGGCAAAGTAGAGGGTGGAGGAGGGATATGCAAAGATGCAGTAAGAGTGAAAGAAGAAGCTGAGAAGGTAGCAGGGGGAGAGGACTAACTGGAGAAATTGAGAGAACTGCTGGATCTCCCAAGACATGAAGGAGAGCGAAATAGGGAGAGGAGCAGCAAAGGGGGAGGCACCTCAGACGGAGAGTGCGGGGAGGGGTGGATGATTTGGAGCCAGGGCAGACAGAGCAGTTGGTGCTGGGACAAGAGGAGACACCTGGGGACAAGGAGAGCAGAGGCAACCACAGCAGGGAGGAAGCCTAGGGACCCGAGGGTGCCAGAGAGCAGGGTGCCAGAGAGCGGGGAGAAGGGGGTGTAACAGGGAAAGCAGAGGGGAAACAGATGAGGAAGAAGGAGGAGATTGGGCACAATGAAAAGATTGGGGGAGAAAAAGGAACAAGAAGTGAAACAAGTTTCCAGACTGGGCCAGATCAGGTGTAAGAGAAGGAATAGAGAAGGAGCAGGAGAGGGGTGCAAAATGAGGAGCAGAAACCTAGGAGAAAACACAGAAAAGAAAAGAAAAGAAAAGAAAAGAAAAGAAAAGAAAAGAAAAGAAAAGAAAAGAAAAGAAAAGAAAACGAGCTAGAGAAAGAGAGATGTGTACAGAATGAGGGAGAGAAACAGTAAATAAGAGGGGGACCCCAGGTCCAGATAACTGGTGAGTTAATTGGATATGATGATTAAGTTGTAACATGTTAATTTCTCTCTTTATACTGTAATACATTTAAAATTTGTTTAAATTTTATAGATGAGAATTGCCAGATTCCTGTCTGTAAAGCTGGTGTATTATATAATTCTTGGCATCTTTTTGTAGTCCCTGTTCAGCCAGAGGGCAGTGACTTGACTCATTCAGTTGTGGGTCACTCTCTTCTTTCCTGGGATGGGGTGGAGAATGGGGATGTGAAGTGGGGAAGAAGTAAAGGAGTCTCTGTTTCTGCATGGTACCTTTTAAAAGGAACATTAAAAGTGGTTTTGTTCTCTTTTTGTAGTGGATGTACTTTTTTTCTGGTTCTTTTTCATTTCGTTGTTTTTTGAAGCTTAACATAATTCTTAGTTTATTCAATTTCTATTTTTCTATATGTAATTACTTCTGAAATAGCTTTGATAGGATCTCCTCACATCATTGTTTTAAGAGTATGACTTATTTTCAGATATTTTCCTTTGACCCCAGAATTCATTAGGTTTTTTAAAAATAATTTCAAAATTGTTTCTCTTTGAAATTAATTGTGACTAGTTTTTTTTTTTCCTATTCTTTCCATGATGAGATTTTATTTTATTTTTTTTGAGACATGGGGTCTTGTTCTGTTGCCCAGATTGGAATGCAGTGGAACAATCATAGCTCACTGTAGCCTCCAACTCCTGGGCTCAGGTGATCCTCCTGTCTTAGTCTCTCAAGTCACTGGGATTAGAGGTATGAGCCATCACACCCAGCTGGCCTTTATTATATACTTTATAACATTCTTTGGTATATAGTATATAATTTTAGATTATTTCAATGTGTACTTGGTAAAGATATCTTGGACTTTTTTTTTATCCTTAATATCAAAACTTAGTTGAAAGAGTTACTCTATCGGCCGGGTGTGGTGGCTCACGCCTGTAATCCTAGCACTCTGGAAGGCTGAGGCAGGCGGATTGCTCAAGGTTGGGAGTTCAAAACCAGCCTGAGCGAGACCCCGTCTCTACTAAAAATAGAAATAAATTAATATGACAACTAAATATATTAATACAAAAAAAATTAGCCGGGCATGGTGGCGCATGCCTGTAGTCCCTGCTACTCAAGAGGCTGAGGCAGTAGGATCGCTTGAGCCCAGGAGATTGAGGTTGCTGTGAGCTAGGATGCCACGGCACTCACTCTAGCCTGGTGACACAAAGTGAGACTCTGTCTCAAAAAAAAAAAAAAAGAGAGAGAGTTCTATTATTCAATTTTTTTACCTAGTCATCTGATACAATAGTGGAACTGTGAGCTGCTAAATAGATGTTCCTCTCTAGTCCCTCTGGTCCGTTCTGTTCTCTGCAAATTGTAAAATGGTAAATTGATTGACTTGAAGTTTGTTCCAAAGATCTGTGTATTCATGAAGAAAGAATTTGCTCAGAGCTTATTTTTACGGAAATCTCTTTTAAACGTCTATAGGTATGTGTTCACAATTGTTTATTTTTTAGTATATTACTATTTTTTCTGTACAGAGGAATGAAATGTTTGGGATCAATGGCATCAGAACTTTAAAGAGAAGTGTTTTTTCTCAGGTATGTGAGAGATGGTCCTGTACTTTCTAGAGGTGGTATGGTGAGACATTCCAGCCTATTGGCCCTTCTAGGCCACATATCAGAATTCAGTCATACCGCCCCTCATCACTCAACCTAGACCTTCTCAGGATAACTTAGTGAAATGTCTCCCCCTCTGAGCCTCAGGGCCACCTGAACAAGAGATGAGGGACTAGACCAGAAAACCTCAATCTGGACTTCATTGACCCCTGAAGTGATTGACCAAATAGAGTGTATGTCCGTGTGTGGCTATTCTTTGGGACAGTGTAGTTCACAATTTCAGTTAGAATTTTAAGTGGATCCAGTACTCCAAAAATGGAAACAAAACAGAAGTACAAAAATGAGAAAAATCATGGCTAAGAGAGACCTCTTTCTCTGCATTTGAGTTATCATGACTAAATCTAAAAGCAGGTCATGCCAGTCCCTGACATTGAAACCTCACTGGCTTCCCATGGTCCTCAGGCAAAATCCAGACCCTCAAAGTGAAGCTATGCCAGAGGTATACTGATATGGTATGTCATTCTCTCATTCACTTATTTATACATATGGAGCCAGGTTTTTTTGTGTGCAACGGGGATTAAAATGTTAAACCAACAGAATATACTCCCTTACCCAGATTTTATTTTTATTTATTTTTTTTTTAGAGATGAGATCTGTGATATATGCCTAAGCTGGTCTTGAACTCCTGGCTCAAGTGATCCTCTGACCTTAGCCTCCTGAGTAGCTGGGACCACAGACACAAATGCGTGCACTGGCAAGATTATTTTTTAAAGGATGGGAAAACAAACCCTTTCAGTAATTAATAGTCTATAATTTAAATGCCCCAATACAGAGAGCTGATGTAATCATCCCCTCAGGGAGCCCCTACTTCCCTGTGCTCTAGTGACATCACTATTTCATCCAGCTCTGCCTACTCTGTTTTTGTCCCTGTGGCTTACAACTGGAGAAATAGACACCCAAACTGACTTGTCTCACTTCAATTTTATCCTCCTTGCATTTTGACATTTCTCTGTTCCTCTTTCCTGTTGATCCTTTCAGCAGCCTAATGCCCCCTCTTTTATCTTTTATTTCAAAGACCTTTGTCTTCTTCGCTTGAGGCCTGGAAGCAAAGGAAGAATTCTCCTCTTACAGCCCCCTCCCCCTCCTCAGGGCCTGTGATCTCTACTCTGTAGTGAATGCAAATGGTCTGTCCCTGTTCCTGGCTGTCTACTGGCCGAGGATTGCACCCCACTTGCCAGCCCACTTGCAGTCTCAGGATGGCGAGGCATCCTCCTTTATGGCTGCATCAATTTTTATTTAATGAATTATTTCGGTCAGTGTACCCAGATGGTGGTATTGTCCATTAACATTAACACACACACCACACACCCTCAACAAAATGAGGCTTTTTTCCCTCCATTCTTCCATCTTTAAAACAAAAAGTCTCTATGAAATACATATTTCCCTGCAGTAAGCACCCCCTCTTCTATATTCCATTTAAAAGCTAAAAACTTGATACTCTGTCTTCAGTTCTTCCCTTCAATTCTTCTTGACCCCATCCAATCAAGCTTTCACATCCACTATTCCACTGACACTTTCTTTTTCAGAGTCCAGTGATTCTTTCATTTCTAAATCCAATATTTAATTTCCTGTCCTCATCTTTCTTTTCTTTCTTTCTTTTTTTTTTTTTTTTTGAGACAGAGTCTCGCTCTGTTTGCCCGGGCTAGAGTGCTGTGGCATCAGCCTAGCTCACAGCAGCCTCCAACTCCTGGACTCAAGCGATCCTCCTGCCTCAGCCTCCCAAGAGCTGGGCTACAGGCATGTGCCACCATGCCTGGCTAATTTTCAATATATATTTAGTGGCCAATTAATTTCTTTCTATTTATAGTAGAGACAGGGTCTCGCTGTTGCTCAGGCTAGTTTCGAACTCCTGACCTCGAGCAATCCTTCCACCTCGGCCTCCCAGAGTGTTAGGATTACAGGTGTGAGCCACTGCCCTGGCCCTGTCCTCATCTTTCTGTTACGTCAGCAGCCTGTTGCACAGCTGATCTCTCTGTCTCCTTTTATCTTGCCTTGAGGACATCCCATTAATCTTTAAAAATCTATTTAATTTTGTTGTCACTTCCGTGATCACTTGGAGCTTTCTCTACTGCTGTCTCCTGAACTCCCTGTTGTCTGAATGTGGAATGACCCACAGATTGATCCATGAACCTCTTGTCATCTGTGTCCACACCCACTGCCTTTCCTTTGTCATTACATCCTCACGATTTCAACCCCTACAGTCTCCATTCCCCTACTGACCTCTCCCCAGAACTCAGAATCCTATGGTCAGTTGTCTTTGTGGCATCTCTGCAGGGCAGTCTAACAGGCATCTTCACCTTTATATGTCCAAAAGTCACTTCCTGAACTCCCAAACTCATTCCCTGCAGGTCCCCACCTCTCTGATGAGAAGCATCCTATATCTCGTTGGCTTAGCTGAAATTTTTATGTATTTAAATATATGAGTAATTATGTTATGTAAGTGTTGGTAATTCATAATATAAATAAAAATGATGACTTAAAATGATGAGGAAATATATCTTTTTGAAATTCTCTTGATCGTGAGAGAGAAATGTGTTGCAGACCTGGACCTTCCTGCTTGCTGCTCCTAAGACCTTCATGGCCTCATC